TGCCCAGCTGCATTTTTAAAAGTACCTTTGATCTTGTTTGGCAAAATCAGATGGAAGATCATCTGATGGGACATGAAATGAGTTTGCTCTGCATCCGGAGCATGAAGACAATAAAACTGTGTACATTGGATACTACCTGGATATAACTTGTTGAGATGACAAAAGCCTCGTCTTGTGGGGTTATTTGGGTTCAGATTGAATCTGTGGAGCCTAAAGAAGCAAACAGGGTTCTCTCCGTGTTATTCTCACCTGTGGATTCGAGTCCTGCTTGCTTAGTGGAAGCAGACAGGGGGATGAGAGGAAGCTGAGTGTGAGTGGTAGTGAAGATATCCTTCAGATATATTTGGGGAGGATCAAGTGGGGCTTCAGGGCAATGAGGTGGAGAGTGGAAGGGAATGAAATGGCAGATACTAAGATCATTTCATAATTAAAAGTCTGCTGAAGGAAATGGACTTTTACTGTTTTTATAAATGCCAAGAGATTGGGGTGAAGTACAAGGGCAATGCAGAAAGATTGAGGAATACCTTATAAAAATCTATTTTGTTGACCTTAATAGCAGATCAGTTTTAATGACCAAAGTGATCTTTGAGTCAAGCCTTATAATATTTAAGGCTTTGCATTTTAACACCATAAGTCACTACCTCAAATTTCTGTCTCCAAACTTACATTTTTACTAGGTTCAAAGCTGGGCTGATCAGGTGCCAATTCCCCAATCAAAAGTGACGCCATGTGCTTCCTTACTAGAGTCTTGTCAACATGAAAGGCTGTGAAAGGATCCTAAAGCCAAAGCATAAAGAAAAAAGAAAGAAAAAAGAAAAAATATTATAATAAAGAACCAGTTTAAAGGCAACCTGGAAGAAACATGTTTAGGCTAAGTGATTACGGTATACTTGATTCTTACCTTTCTTCTTTCCAAGTCAAGGCACCACAGGCTTAATTCCCAGGAGTTGTTTGACCCAAGGTATTGAGACACTTGCACTATTATTTAAGGAATTGGCTCTGAAGGGTTATGATTAATTCTAAACTATAATTATTCAGAAAAGTATTTTGGCTTCAAGTAACGTCTGGAGTAACAGATGACAAAGAAACTGCAGTGTTTTGCAGAAAACATCAAAGACAGCAAAATGTATAAATCACATATTTTATTTGTTTAATACTTTCTTTCTAGAAAGTAGTATTTATAGATAGTTTTTATCAACAATATAAACCAGTTTTACTGCTTTACTCTGCAGATAGAATTCCTGCTTTTCTGCTCTCTTTTCAATTTATAGGTGGAAAATGCACAATTTGCTTAGTTCTGCATTAACTTTTATTATTTAATTTTAATGCTGAGAAAAATCTATGCTTCTTTTTGAAGACATTTATAGTAAGTATAATCTTTGCATTTCATTCATGCGTAGTTATACACCCACTTTCCATGAAGAAACTTGCTGATATAAAAAGTTAACCTAAAGAACATAAAACTTAAATATATATATAATATGTGGACCAAGTAAACAAAAGACATGGAAGAAACTGCTTAAGGCTTTGAAAAATAAAGGGGAAATACAAAAAATAAATCAAAATCATGATCTGGATAGTGACTTTCCAGTGGAGCTACAAAAGAGGTCTGCTAAAGACTTGAAGAAGCCTCTATGATACAACAAGAAAGATAACATCTGAATGAATTAAAGATCAAGATTGTTAGAAGTAAAAGAAAGGAATATAAAGTTGTTCTGTTTGATTAAAATAAGACATGCTTTTTATAAATCTCTGGTAATTCTTTATGGGCTTTTTGCTGACACCAGGACTGAAAAGTTGATCATTTGTCATTATGCATATAGAAAGATGGATTTGGGGAAGGAGAGATATTTATTTGTAACTTTATAGCAGGTAATGAGTTATCAAATGTCTTTTTACTTGGCATACTGAAGATTGGAAGTCACTTCTTTTATATATTTCTTTTCTTTTTATTTATTCTACTTCTTTCCTTTTTGTTTCTCTATTTTTTTCTTTCCATTTTTTAATGTATGTCAATGATGACTCAATCATCTAGGCCAGGGGTGTCAAACTCAATTTCATTGAGGGCCGCATCAGCATTGCGGTTGCCCTCGGGGGAGGTGGGTGGGTGCGGCCAGGGTGGGTGCGGCCTACTGGGTGGGCATGGATGGAGTGGGTGTGGGCTACTGGGTGGGCATGGCCAGCTTTACATCGTTCACGTCAAGGGTGCCTGTGGGGGCCTGGGCAGGAGTGGAACAGATCTGAGGGTCTCTGGCAGAAGGGGATGGGATCGGGGCAAATACCAAGGCATGGTCCATTTCTTCATTCCTCACAAAGGGTGACACCTCCCCAGCATGCACCCAGGGGGCGGGGCTGACACAGCAGGGGCTGGTTCCTCGCTGTTTCTAGATGGCCTTGTGGAGCTAAGACTGAATGCGTTTCAGCATAGATGGCCACCACAAAATTGTACATTGGCTCCCAGATGGCCTGGGCCAGGGCCAAGGCAGCAGGGGCCGTTCCGTCACTGTTTCCAGGATGGTTTCACGGGCCACATGAAACCACTTTGCGGGCCACATCCGGCCCCCAGGCCTTGTGTTTGACATGTCTGATCTAGGCCAAAGGTGTCTAAAGGTTGAATCATGGTAACTGGACCAACTTTGTTAATCTGAGACATTTCATTGCTCATCCAAGCAACTTCATCAGAGTAAAAATTAGGCAGGCAGACAGTAGAGATTCGTTGGAATGTACCAACTCTTGCCATACCAATTTCAGTTGAATCTTGACTCTCAGATTAACATCTCAGATTAACAAAGTTTGGTCCAGTTGCCATGATTCAACCTTTAGACATCTTTGGCCTGGATGAGTCTTCATTGACATACATATTGCAACTCATTTTGGGGAGAAACCCCTGAAATTGGTGTGGCAAGAGTTGGTACATTCCAATGACTCTCTGACTCAATGCCTATCTATTTTTTACTCTGACTGAGGAAATTGAAGTTGAAGTTCATGAAGTTGAGCAATGACCATCTGGTCAAAGTTTGGTCCAGTTGCTGTGATTCAACCTTTATACACTTCATTTTTTTAATTCTTTCTCTTCTTTATTTTTCTGAGTTTAATTTGTATTTGATTTTACTATTGTACTTGACAGGAGTAGATTATTAATCAGAAATTTCTAATGAATCTAAAGGTCTGTAGGAGAAGCCACCTGAAAGTCATAAACTCAAACAAGTTAACTATATACAAATAAGAAAAGCAGAAGTTGCTGGCTAACTGAAACTGCAAGCAGAGGAAATATATAAATAACTATAGGAATCGAGCTTTGTTAACAGAAAATTAGATGGTGATAGATAAGACGTGCACAAAGGGGGTTCCTGGAACACGGGAGGGGCAGGGGATAGTGGTTTTAGGTGGTCCGGATTAGTTTATCGGATGATTAGACAAGAGGCGTTGAGTGCAATAGGGGAGGGGGGAATCTGCGTCGGGGATAGGATATAAAAATGTGTCAAACAGCTCTTTAAGGTGTGGCTGGACTCCTACGTGTGTTTCAGCTCACCAAGCCTTTACAAATGCTTTTTAAATAAAACCTTGTTGCTGGAATTCCAATTGAGTTTGTTTTGGGATCTTGAGCCATGTTCCAAACATACTGAAAATCTTTATAAAAATTATTTTTTTAAAAAAAAAGTACGTAAAAGGTAACAGAAAAAAATAGGCTAATCTGCTTTGAAAGTAGAAAAGGTTATAGCAACTGGATGCAATCTTATTTTTACAATGATAAAATGATTTTTTTCCCCTTCTTTTCAATCATGTCCAATTCTCTGGGACTGCTGGACAAGTCTCTGCACTTTTCTTTGCAAAGTTTTTCAGAAGTGACTTGCCATTGCTCCCTTCCTAGGACTGAGAGAAATGACTAGCCTATGATCATGCACAAGGCAGGACTTGAACTCACAGTCTCCCAATTTCTAGCCTGATGCTTTAACCACTACACCAAACTGGCTCCATATGAATACATAATTTATATCTTATTTTCTGTATCCTGGTTGTTTTGTGTGTGACAGAGATATGTTTTGTTTTGTTTTGTGAGCTCCTGCTTGCAGTCTGCATTAACAGAGGCCAGATACTGGTTTTCCCAACTGACCAAAAAGGTGTAGAAGTATGTGTATCTTCAAATAATCATGTGATATAGAACCTGTTTCTCTCTTTGCAAAAGAGAGTAGCAAAAAGAAGTCAATATGTGCTTCACATATTATAAAAAGTGCTCAGAAAAATGGGAACTCCAGAATCTGATTGTCCTCATGAGAAACTTACATACAATCAGGAAGCCACAGTAGTCAGAACATGAAAAAAACAGACTGGCTCCAGGTTAACAAAGAGGTACAAGGCTGTGTATTTGACCCTTATATTCAACCTATATGCTGAATATATACTAAGGGGGACTGGGTTAGAAAGTGATGGGCATGGTTTTAACATTGGAGGAAGAAAGATTAATAGCCTATATTATGCTGGTAGCCCTACCCTGAAACTGAATATACAGAAAATCTGCAAGTTTTAGTAATAAAAGTCAAGGAGCACAGTGGAAAATGGGATTAAAAATAAAAAAGACCCAAACTAATTACAACTTGCCGCGCGCCTTACCGTGGCGTCCTGCCCTGCGAAGCTTGTGATGGTCCGAGAACCCCCTGGGTGCCTCCTGTAGAAGCGGCTGACGTCATAGACTTTCCTGTCGATCACCAGCCAGCGCTCCTGTGGCGGGTCTCCCTGGCCAGTGCGCAGCCCGATCTCGTCCCAGGTAAACCACCGCGAAGGGCCGGACAGATCGGCCGCGGGATGAGCCTCCCTCCTCTGCCTGACCCCGGTTTCTCCTTGCTGGGAAGCCATCTCCCCCCCGACTGAGGCTTCGGGGAACCTGGCACTGTCCTTTTCAGCACCACCGGGAGGGCGGACTGGGCGGGTCGGAGGGAGGGAGTTTCCCCCCTTCTCCGTCTCCGATTGGCCGACAGAGTTTCACTGGAGCTGCTGTCGTGGAACAAAAGCAGACTGAGAAACACCGAAAAAGCAACTCGGCCGAGCCTGGGATATTCGGCTTTTCGAGTACAAAGGAGAAGCAGGCTGCCGGTCGGGGTGAGTGATTGTATTTTGAAAGGTTGCCCTCCCCAGCGGGTAGCGATGAAATTGAAATCAGCTGTTGCCAGTATTTGTTTATTTTGGAGAACAGATTGATGTGGGATTCAGAGAAACTGTTGATTCATCTCTGCCTGCCTTCTCTCCATCCCTGAAATACCACAGGTTGAGAATTTCTACTCGCTGCACAGAAAGGAGACTGACACAATCTGAAACAGCTTTCATTCGCTTAAGCGTTAGAGTGGCAAAACACATCTCTTACTGGTAGCTTTTGGGGGGGTGAGGAAGCTTAGAAACAAACTTTTCAGAACAACTGATTGAATGTTGTTGGCCACAGCTGGATCTCAGCTAATGGGACTTGAAAGAGATGTTTTTCTAAGCTGTAACAGAAAATACTGAAAGATCTATGAAAATTTGCTGTAGTCTAAATGCAATTAAATGGCATGGTGACAGAATTTTACATGTTTAAGAGTTTTTCAGCAGGTCAAGCTAAAATTGTATAAACAGTTTCAGCAATACGATAGAGGGAAAGCTAAAACAATGAATGAAGTATCTGTTAAATCAGAAACCAATGGATCATCAAACCAACCAACCCTGAGTTCTCCCTAGAGACACAAATGGTCAGGCTCAAATTATTCTATTTTGGGCACATTATATGAAGATCTAGCTCTCTGGAAAAGGCTGTAGTTCTGGGAAAGTTGGAAGGAAAGAGAAGAAGAGTTGGATGGACTCAATTTCATTGGGAATTAATGCACCACTAGAAGACCTGAAAGTCTTTTTTGAGGGATCATGGAGAAAATCTATCTATGTGTTCCCCAGAAATCAAAAGCAATTTGATGGCACATAATCAATAATCAGTGTTTCTAAATCTTGATGCACAATGAACTTTCCCAAAGCTTCCTTCTCTAAAAATCTTTTTGGCACCAGCAGATGGGTGATTCATAGGCAATAAGCCAACAATCGGTTGTTACTGGTAAAGAGCTGAGAGGGTGCACTGCTCTGGCTTGAGAATGAAAGTCTGACATCAGGATTTCCACAGTGCCACTATCCCTGGGAATATTGGTTCTCTGTGCATTAGGAGACATTAAACATTTGACATATACTTAAATAAATACCTCTCTGAATAAGAGACATTTACAGGCAATGGTTACTGAGTATCTTACTCCCATTTTCTTACCTGTCTTCCACTGGAAGATAACGTGGGATGTTTGTAAAGGAAAAGAGAGAAGAAAAGAGGAAAGTCTGGAGACAAGTGAGGTTTGTCAGGAAAGCTTTTCTAATAGGTTGGAAATCAGCCCTTATAGAAAACCCTTAAGAAAATAACCAAGTTTGTCCCAGACAACCTATTTAAAAACATCAAAAATATGAGTTTTCTCAAAGTGTACTTTCTAATTATTATTGTTTTATTTCTCATAATTACTTATTTCTGCATGGAGGCCATATGGTTTCTCTGGATGTCTCATGTGAGCCATATCCCTGCTCAAGTGAGAATATTTCCATTTCTGCTTAGAGGCACCATCTTTCTTTCACTCAATCCATTAATGTTTTGGAGCACCAAGTCTTTGAATACAGTCTTTGATTGCCACTAAGTTGTCTGGTCACATCTTTGGGAAAGAGCAAAACCTCGATTCTTTGCAAGGATTAACTCATTGTCTTACCAGCTAGAAAAAAATAAGTTCATGGCTGAGGGAGGCTCCTTTTGGGCACTGGCTTATCCAGGAGAAGCTGCAGCCAGAAAGAGCACAGAAGAGATTGCCTGGAGAAGATGTTCTCACTGCCATCAATTCTCTTCTCCTTTCTCTTTCTACAGCAGCCTGAAGGAGTCTGGGCAGCACTGGCAGGGGAGAAGGAAAGGGTGAAAGTTTGGTAAATAAAATCAAGAGAATAACTAGGGGCAAAAGTATATAGTTGTCAGTGGTTCTCTTATTTACAATTATTAGACAGATTTAAAATAGATAGAAGAATTTATGGTTATGAACATTGTAAGGCTAAATTTAAAACAGAACTGTGTATAAATGATAAGCATGTTGTTGCTAAAATGTATACAATCTCACTGAAATGTAAAACAGAAAAAGAACAAGTGAAAGAATCCATGACACTATGGGCTAAAAACTTGGTTTTAATATACAATGGGAACTATGGGAAAATATGTATTGAAAGTATTGAAATTTACACTATGTTATAACCTTAAAGAAATTTTTTTTACAAAATGATGTACTATTGGTACATGTCACAAGAGAAATTATCTAGAACATATACAGGCACTTGAAATTTATATTGGAAATGTGAACAACAAGAAGGGATATTTTGTCGTGTTTTGGACTTGTGAAAAAGCTAGAAAATTCTAGATTCAAATGCATGCACTGATTCAGAAGATTTTAAAGATTAATATACAATTGAAACCAGAGGTTTTTCTTTTGGGATTGATGGGCAAACAATTGAAAAAAGTTATGGATCTTTATTTTCATATATGATAATTGCAGTGAGATTATTGCATGCACAATGATGGAAATATTCAACGCTATCTACAATGGAGAAATGGTTGATAAAGATTATGAAACTTTCTGAAATGGCTAAATTGGTTTCTTTGATTAGAAAAAAGATGGGTTCAGGTCCAGTTTGGCAATCATACAGAGGTTACTTGCTGTTGTCTATTTCTGATTTGGGGTGTGTATGAAGGGAAATCTCAGTCTATAACCCTGGGATTCCCAGGTAATTCCCCTCCAACTACTAACCAGTTCTGAGCATGTTTGCCTTGTCAAATCAGTCAAGGACAGCTAAATATTACTACACTCTCTAATAATAAATCAGCACAGAAAGATCCTATTGTGTCTTACTTTTTTTTTCTTCCTATTATTGCCTTTTTCCATTATTGCCATAGTGTATAATTTAGCTTATAAATTCTTCAGGAAGCAACCTGATCTTTGTTTATGGAAATTCTCAGTCATCCATGGTCATGATTGTCTCAAAGGTGCTTTTTCAAGAGGCAACTAGACTTTGGAAAGTCCAGTTGCCTCTTGAAAAAGTGCTTTGAGACAACCTGGTCTTTGCTTATTCTTTGTGAGCATATGTTATTTCAGTGCCATTGTCTATGTGCATGTCTATGGAGATTCTCAATCATCCAGGCCATGATTGTCTCAAAGGCACACTTTTCTAAAAGGCAACTGAACTTTCTTGGGTTTTTTTTTCATTGAAAACATTTCATTTCCATGGGGTGAAGCTAGCTCAGATGGACAATGGAGGCTGAGTGGACGATGGAGGCTGAGTTTCTGCCTCCTCCAGACCATCACAGAGAATTGATTAGAAAATATAACACCCAATTAAGGACTATGAAAATTTAAGAGATTATGAAACGTGAGTTACTTCCCTTGCTTTCCTCCTGAAGTTTGGATTGTATCTGATTCGGTTTTGGACATTCTCCCAGAGAAGCTTTGAATTTGGATGTTTGGCTAAGAGAATTGAGAGGCTTTTGAAGGCTGATGGGGAGAGGAGGGGCCCTATGATTGAAGACTGATAGGAGAAAGAATTTGGAGAGAGTTTAAAGGAGTATAGTTGAAGCGATAATAGCTGATTTATAACGTGTACAGTGTGAAGGCCCCTTACTCCCTCCTTTCAGTCGAATGTTGAGATCTGGAGAAAATGAAAGTATTAAATAACTTTAAGACAGAGCCTTGATAAGGCATGTGTAATAAAGATAACTGCTGCCTTTGGATTTATTTACTCTCATTGTGCTGCTTTGTGGAGATAAGTTGATAAGGACAAGATAAAGGGAGGAAGTGATGTGTATGGACTATAGACTGTGTAAAAAGTCTTAGAAGGTTAAGAGCTCTTTTTGGTGGTTGGATGTCAAAGCGCAGCCAAAGTGCAGAAAGTATTTGGCAAAGACCCAAAGCAGGCCTTAGACCTTCAGATTTATGTCTGATTCAAGTGGAAAAAGCCTTAGAAATGGATGTGAGGAAAAAATCGCCTGAGAAGTCACTGACTCAACCAAATAAACTTGATATTCTCTTACAAGAGTTAAGAGAAATGAAGATAAATATAAAAGAAATGAAGACAAATATAAAGGAGGATTTGAAGCAAATAAAAGATAAAATGAATAGTATGGATGTAAGAATAGCAAATCTGGCGAAACAAAGTCAGGAAATGACATGAAATATTACAGAAGTGAAGACTCAGATGGGAGAACATGATAAGGTGCTAAAAAGCCAGACAATTATAATACATCAGGTGAAAAAGGATTTGATTCAGATATGTGATCGTTAGCGCTGATCAAGTTTACGTATACGTGGATATCCAGAGAAAAGTGAAGAAATGAAGCAAAATTGATTCAAGCAGTACTTGATTGGGCTACCTCGATCCTCCCAGATGTCCCCTTTACAAGATATGATATTGATGCAATACATAGAGTCAGCCGAAAAAGGTTGGGAAGAAAATTGCCGAGAGATATTGTGGTGCAAGTCTGGTCATACGCAAAAAAAAGAGCAATTGATGCGCAAATTGTGAAACATGTCGTCTATAATGTTTGGGGGGCATCAGATACAAGTTTTTCCAGATTTATTCAATGAGACTTTACAATGGAGGAGAGAGATGCATCAAGTTTTTTAAATATTGAAGATAAAAAATATTAATTAACGCTGGGGATATCCAGTTCTTTTGAGATTTTCATATGGTGGAAGATTTTACAGAGTTGAAACATAGGAGAAGGCAATGGAGAAATTAAGGGAGCTCAGAATTATCAGTAAAGAAGAGGCTATGGAGAAAATTCAGAAAATGAATGAGATGTTGAAATTCTCAAGAAAGAAGATGGAGAAGAAGGAAGATCTACAGGAGAAAGGGAAGCTGGATGAAGCAACAGGAGTTACAAGTTCATTGTAGAGATAGTATATAAGTATTTTTTATGTTTTATAATATATGTTTGGGTGTAGAAATTAAGGGTAAAGATGGTCAAGGGAGGTGGAGTGGGGGACCGAAGTCTGTACAGGGATGGCTCCTCTTCCTCC